GTTCTATAGGTTATACATTAGTGCCCAATCCAAAAAAAACACTTTCTTTAGATTGTTAAGTATCGTTTGTATAGAGCAGGATAGGCGAAACTGTCTCCTTTTTCCTCTGTTCTGTTTCAATATCTAAAGTATTCAATGAACGAAACTAGATGTAAACAAGTCAACAGGATTTGATGAAGTTAAAACGCATATCTTCGCCAATTGTATCTGAGTCGGTTGAACATATTATTAACTTAAGTTTCTGTACAGGTATTTTTCTTATAAGCCGCAGGAAACTAGAGCTATATCTCACCACAAGGGTGGTGATGCAACTGATGTGAACAATTATAAACCAATATCTATATTCTAAACCGTTGCCAAAATTATTGAAAAAATTGGTATTTAATTGACTATATGCATATTTCGTAAAATCAAATCTTCTCTTAAGGTAGCAATCGGGCTTTAGATCTCGACATTTATAAAACACTGCCCTCCTAGTGATCACGCTATTGATGGGTTTAAATCTGATTGATCAGGAATATTTCAAAAGATAATGATTAATGGTATTGAATCTCATTTCGGAGAAGTTTAATCAGGAGTTTCACAGGATTCCATGCTAGGACCTTTACTTTATATAATATATCTGATGTATCTCTTGTGCTTGAAAATGTTTCTGCTGAACTTTCTGCTGATGATACAATATTATATAAGTCATTTCCATCAGTAACAGATTTAAATGCATTTATGTTTCATTTTACTGAAACACCTTCCAAAACGTGGCACATGCATCATATCAATTCCTAAGGAAGTCAATTCTCTCAGAACACCTATAGCTATTGTTAACAGAAATTGTCATATGTACAATGGAAACTGCACTTGAGAATTGTACTAGTAGAACAACACTTGGATAGCATTCAAAACACACTCTCTGCCGAAGATACCAACGGGATATTCAAACTCATAGGTCAAAAACAGACTGACAATGTCATGGCCTTGGTGACAACTTTAATTCAAAATACAGTTAGGGACATATCAAATTTTAGTTTATATTAATGAAGGTACTTAAACAATCACAATAATTTAGCATAGCCATTCATTAGACATCTTCACTATAAGTCATAATCAAAACCAAAACCGGTACCACAATTGAAGCAAACAGTTGTTTAGTGAGTTAAAATTCGCATCTGTCAAATGGCAAAATCAAATGCAAAATGCTATGTTTAATTAGTTTGAACCCGTCTATTATATTGTATTAGATGAAACATAATATATTAGATCGATTATTACTCAATTCACATGAAAATTTTGCAATCACATTAATAAGATCTCGCATTATACCAGTAATCATTAGTGAATTGCAATGCTAAATGCACGCATTAGTTTCCGAATTTACAGTAATTTAACTTCTTCTGAATACACTATTGCAAATAATAAACAATGTATTTATAAATTGTTGTTTCTTTTCAAGATAAATAGTAAATATGTAATCTATTAATATTTTCCTTATAGAGAAAGCTTTATTAGAGGCACAGTAAGGAGTAAGCACCAACGCAATTAATTCTCCAGGAGAACTGATCATCACCCAGTTGGAGATTGATGTTCATGATAAATGATTTGAGGTAGACACAGGTATGATGAAATTTATTTTGTTTAAGCATGTTCTGATATTGTTTATAAAGCACAATGCCATGCTGGTTCACTATTAAACATCACATTAACAGAACCAATGAACAGCACCAGGTGCAAGTTTTGACAATAACTGTCTGTTCAGTGATGCTTAAGGCTGAAACATTTAAAAAACGAAAACTAAATACAGACGTAAAAGAGCTGGTAAAACCAAATTAGACCAATAAATAAAGCCAAATTCGGACAATACATTTATGACGGAATACATCCTTTAATTCAAAATTATTTTTAAAAATTTAAGAGATATAGAAAAATTTTGATCTCTTCCTTCTAGTACGGCAGTCTTGACTACTGAGCAATATTTTCTACGAAATTAATGCAAAATCATATTCCTGATTCTTAAACTAGAGGCCTTTTTCTCATTTTGACATACTGATACCTCGACGCATGAGTCTTAGTAATATATAACAATTAAAATATATCACCTATTACAAAGGTGGCGGCAATAAATGCATAATGAAATTACTGATCTAAACATGATCAAAATCAATATTTTGCATTTGCAAATCATAATTAGAAGATTAGGTAATAACTCCGTAAGGCCGAGTTGACAGATGAATTAGACTATTTCTATTAGGTATATCTTAGTCGTATCGCTCTTAACGTTTCTACATATGTATACATTCTTTGCTTTCAAATGGTTTACTTCGAGTTTTCTAATACAAACGAATTCATTAAAGCGCTTCGATCGCACAAAATCTATGAAGTGTTATTTTCATCAGATCATGCATGATAATTGAAGTATTTTTACAGTTCATACCAATGTCTTCCCTGTTCTAGCTGCACGCGTTTAAATATTTCTTTTTATAAATATCCAGTCATAAAGTTTTGATCTAATTCAATTGTCATTAAAATCAGGTTCTTAAATATTTTTGCCGATTTAATATCTGGACTAAACTGTCTGCATGATAAATATCATATATTCAATTATTTATATGTTAGAAGCGACAATATTGTTTTTCTACTTCCTGATATTTATTACATTGCTTTGTGATCACCATGTATTGTCATTGTAGTATGGACATGCAGCACCGATGATATTTATTTATACCTGTATTATCATTCAGTAATAAACTTTAAACTGCATTAGATTCTTTTAACTTTAATAATATATAAATGTATAAAATACAATGTTATTTTGCATGTATTATGCAACCCACTAAAGCCTGGTCAAAATAATCATTTTTATCAAAAATATTTGATTAAACTTTCTGTGTAGTTTGTTCAACATATTCTTCTAACATCATGCATCAATGCATAGTTCGATGGATCTAGGTTAAGCAATTGTTTCCATCTTTTTAAAACATTTGTTGAAGAAAAACTACGGTTTGAGGTTGGAAATGCGGGAAAAATCCCCGTACAATTACATAGCGAGTAACTGCAATATATATTCTATCATTCAGGGAAGGTTCAAATACCTTGGCTGATAACTATAGTAGAGGTTTTATTAACACACTTGATACTGACTCAACTTTGCTGAAAAATCAGTAAATTCCAACGAATAATAATTATATTCTGTAACAATTATATATTAGCAAGTACACAACTTCAGCATCTGTCAAATTTTTTTGACGTTTCAAAGATCTTGTTCAAATTCTGTAGGAAGAGTTGAATATGTATCAAATGACCTTTCATGGTTTGTACATTGCCATGACTATATCTATAACGAGGTTTATGTTTTAGTAATTAAACCATCTGTAAGCAACATCCCCAGTTTCCTCCAAGTATCATCTAAATCTTCTAGATCTTTCGGCCATTGTACAACAAATGCATAATTCCAAATGTACGAAAACTCAATTGGAATATCAGTAATTGTTATATTTTTTGTGATGAAAATAATGCGCTCCAGATTTTTTGTAATTCTCTCATATTTTGCTCTGTCAAGTTCAAACATGCAGTCAGGTGACGATATGAATTCTGGCGTGATGAGAAATATAATGGACCTGCTGTTTTGGATGCTCTCTGCCTCGTTGTCTGCTTTACTCGGTCCAATTAAAAAATCTCGCTCTTTTATGCACATGTTCAGTCCCCACTCAACTTCAAGTTTTGGTATTAATACATTTTTTATCCAAATGACAATATCCCCTTCATATGATATATACACGTCATATTGGTAACGCTTCCAGACCTTTTTTTCAACAACACGGCGAATTACTCCATAGATAGAGAAGATGATTTTCCATCTCTTGCTATAGGCTACAAGGAGCAACGAGATAGTGATAAATGTAGATAATAATGTTAATGCAATGGTTAGCCACATAATATTCTTACAGTCCGCAAACAAGTCATATAAAGAGGTGTATGCAATAAGTGTATCGATAACTGTACCGTTGGACAATTTACATTTATATGATCGTCTGTCGAGGTCAACTTTTGTAGTCTGTATCCACCTTATGAAGTCTATATTGTCACAATTGCACTCAAATGCATTATCATTGAGATGTAAAGTCATTCCATGCAGTTCTTGCATCTTATCTGCCCAGCCTCTGATAGCTGAACTTACACTTGTCAATCGATTCTTACTTACGTCAAGCATCTTTACTTTAGTATGATCGCTCAGTTGTACTGGAATAGACTGAAGGGAATTTTTACCTAAATTAAGATAAGTCAAGTTTGGCATTGGATTAAATAAGTCGTCCGGAAAATACCAAATATCATTTTCAGATATATCCATTGACTCGACAGATCTAATACTTTTGAAGAACCGATTTCCGTATAGTCTAATTGCATCATCTAGGTCGGCGTTTTTCCATACAATCGTTTTCAAGGTGTTATAGGAAGAACGTTTTAATTGATTCCATGCAAATGAATAGTCTCCACCATTAGAAATAAATGTTTTCACTCGAATTTGAAGAATAATTATGAAAGCATGTATGTTTGAATAAGATACATCCAGATATGTAAGGCTGTTATTTTTAGGAACTATTAAAAACATTGCGGGGAAAGTATTTGCTATTGTGTAACTGACATCTATTTTTTCAAGTGACTCCGGTAATATCACACAACTGTGAGATGAACAATTAAAATCTAAATTTGAAGTACCTGAATATTTTATACCATAGTTAACAGCATTATATGAATAGTCCAACGATTTCAATCTAACAGTTTTATTAAAGAAATGTCTTGTATCATTCATACTCTTCTCACTAAAAAGCAAAAACCTGTTTCCTTTAAAAGAAAGATGTCGTAAACATTCAGGGTGATCAAAGGAGAACAAAGATCCAGGGTCATAATCAACTATTCCATTTTCTGATAAATCTAGATTTTCTACACAAATAGTTTTCAGGTTCTCCATTATGTCCACTGTAATTGTGAGAACATACGGGACATCCGACCTGTCAATACTTACGTCACTCACATGACCAAAGTTTATTGTCGTCATTTTTGTATTACGGTATGGATGTAACAGCTGCAATGCGTGCTTTAAATGCATGAACGTTCCGGAAAAATCTATTACATGAAGTTTTGGAAACGGCAGCAATGCGTTATCTTCTGTAACAACAAAGTGTAACCGACAATTTCTTAGAGTAAGCTGTTCTACAGACGATGAAAACCCCTGAAAGGTTTTATTTGATAAACGTACTAAATAACATGATTCGAACTGTAATTGTGTTATGGTCGTCATTTGACCGAATCCGCTTCCAAAATATGGCAAAGGCATCATATCGATTCCTAAGAAAGACAACTCTGTCAGAATACCGAATGCATGATCGGGATAATTATAATCCGTATCAACTTCTATTGGTTGAGGCATATTACTCCTGATATCCAATTTTGTTAAGTTTTTAATTGGATGGAATAGTTCTGCTGAATATACTTCAGATAAATTAAGTATATTTTCAGACATGTCAAGTATTGCAAGTTTGTGTAATCCTTGAAACGATTTCTTAAATAAATAATGAAGTTGATTTTGTCTCAGGAAAAGTTCTTGTAAGTATTTATAATTAACAAAAGAATTGTTTACAATCATTCGCAACCGATTAGAACTCATATCTAAAACTTTAATATCTCCCGGTAAATCCTGAGGTATGAAAGTCAGTCCTTTGTTTTTACAATCTGCAATTTTTACATCCTCATTGTCTTTAAATACAATTTTGATATCGCAGTCTGAAGCATGTACGAATTCATAGCAGTAAATGATAGAAAAAAATACTAAATAAAGTACAATCCTCTCCATATTGTGACCTGAATATCTAAAATACCCTTCTTTAAGAACTAGATGTTAAGTAATCCTCCGTACTTTGTATTGCATTTCATCATACACAGATAAGTTTCAAGTTACATATTTAAACACAACCAAGTAGTTAAATACTTTTGCACGCATCAATAAAACACCTTTATCTGATTTGAATTATGATGTGCTCAAACAATGAGGAAAATGAATTATGAGGAAGAAAAACTAAAATCGACAATACATCAATTTAATGGTCACCATAACAAATTAGTTGTCAAATTCCATCTGTCTGTGTCTAAACTCACTAGATACATGTTTGCGCGGTTCATTAGATCTTTAGTTACCAGAATCATCGTCTGACCTATAAATGTAGAGGTTATGTTCTATTCATGGTGGTGACATTTTGACTGATTGTGGATTTGCATGCCGGGTTGTACGTAGCACGAGACGCCATCCATGTCGATGTATGCTATGGAGTTCAAGTAGTTCACTGAGGTTTTTTTTGCCTTGATTTGTATCTTCTAAATTGATTGATGAAATGTGGACATCAATCAAATGCGTTTCCCTCTAATGATATCTACAGACATATGGCTTCTTGAGAAAGACTCGATCATTTTCTGAATATTTTTCCTTTTCATATATCCACGTAAAAACATATACATATTACTAGGATGAGGTTTTATATATGTTTACACTGTTTTAGTGTGTTTATCTAAAAATCATTGTTATTGATAGCAGTTAATTTTACAAATACTTATTATTTGAAATACCGGTAATGTTGTGTACTGGACCTTTAGAAAATATTTGTTCATACTCATTAGATATTTAGGATTCTGTAAGGTGTACATTTTCATTTGACCATTAACCTTGTTTCTCTAGTTTATCACCCAATGTTCGATTTAATTTTCTGATAAGATATGTAAAAGATGATTGTTTTATTGATTAAAATGGTTGTAATGTGAATTGTTTGTCGGACATCAGTTTATGAATCATTGTTCCATGTAAAGTTATCATAATAAGACTCTTTTATTAATTATTATAAGTCAACTTTTTTTTATGAATAACATTATTTTCAGGTGCTAACTCCTAAATGATATAAAAGCATACATCACCAACTGTAATAGGAAACCCCGAAAGATGTAAAGGCAGACTGTAAAGAGGAGCAAGTAATATCGTTTAACAATGGACCTGCCTTGGATATTTTGGCTCCTGTGGAGCAGGTGTGCTATTGTAAATATAAAGTATCTCTGTGGCACAAAGGTGATCCCTACTTTTGTAAGAAAAAGAGAGGCGAAAGATACCAAAGGAACATTCACTGTCATAAGTCGAAAATGAACTGACAACGCGTTGGCTAGAAAAGAAAAGACAAACAGACAGTACAAAAAAACACAAATTAAAAAAGTAAAGACTGAGCAACACGAATCTCACTAAAACTAGGGGTGATCTCAAGTTCTCCAGAAAGGTTTGCATATCCTACTCCATATGTGACATTCGTTGTGTTCTTCGTGTAAGTACAACCCCGGTGATAAGTATAATTCGGTAGGTCATATTCGAAGAAAAGGGGACGGATCGTAGTTACAGTAATTGAAAGATATCCGTCGTCATCAGCGAAATAGATATTCCATATTGGCCATCCAACTCGTGATGGCACCCATAAAATTTACGAAGGGATGTTTTCAACTTCACCACTTGGAATTCTTGGTTTAATAGCTTCCTTGTGAGCATCAATTCCCTATCGAAGAAATCATGATAGGAAATACTTGCCCTGGAAAATCGTATTAACTGGGAGATATATACTCCGTATGCAGGCGCTGCTTGAATATTCTACATAGAAATGGAAAGTTCACAATTGAGAAGCTGAAATCATCTCTTTTGTCGTAAAGGTCTGGTTTAAACCGACCCTCGTTGTCAAGATATGAGGCAGACTCAACTGTATCTGTCTTTTTAAATTATTACTTTTACTGTTTATATAAAAAAGAAGATGTGGTTTGATTGCAAATGAATCAACTCTTCACAAGAGACCAAGTGAAATTGTTTAGTCTATTTTTGGTCAAATTCATTTGACGTGGCTCCGTACATATACGTCCCGTCATTGTGTTATTGTGCTATGGTAAATTTTTGTATTCTTGTCTTTCGTTTTTGCTAATGTGCTTTGTCTATATGCCTTTTTGTTTTTCTTTGTTGACAGATTTGTTTGTTTTTATAGTGATTAAGATTATAATACAAGGTTGACTGCTGTACCTCTAATTTTGACATTTTCACCTATAATGTCTGTTTGTTTTGTTCACACATTGTTGTAAATATAATGGAATTTTATACGACTGTCATACAAGTTAGAGGCTTATAAAACTATGTTTAATCGACCATTTTCTAGATAGGAAAATGCCTGTACCAAGTCAGGTATATGACAGTTGTTATTCATTCGTTTAATGTGGTTGAACTTTTGATTTTGCCATTTGAATATGGACTTACCGTTTTGAATTTTCCTTGGAGTTCGGTATTTTTGTTAGTTTACTTTTTTTGGTATCCTGTATGAGACAAAAGTCAACAAAAAGAGAAGCACAGTTGGTTACAATGGGAATGCCGACAGTTTGTTGAAAATGTTGAAAACACGTCCTCCAAACGTTACAAATATGTTGTCAATCAAGAAATCAAGCATCTTGATAATGTAAGTTTCAGAGAATTTTTTGCTTGAATCAGTTTGATTTTTTACAAATTATGATTTATCTCTTCATAAGACAAGATACTTTTATCTACGGTGACTATTCTTTTTTCATAAAAAAAAAAACGAAGCAGGACAGCTCTTTCAATTTGTCTTTGAGTTTGAAATGAGGAATACTTGTGTAAAGTGTAGAAAAGTCATATGTTTTAATACTATTGACAGATGAAAGAGTCTTAGATTGTATGTACTCTAAACGGTCTTTGAAATTTTTTAGTATCCACATCTGATTCACGCCACCTCTAGAATAGGTAGTTTCACAATAACTTTGAAAGAAGGTTTCATTGCTGATAAACTTGATGTGGATAATGTAAAAGGTTTCATGAATGAATCACTTAGAAGACCCAGCAATATAACGTTGTTTGTAAGGAAACTTTTGTAATTTAGGTATCCAATAAATTGAAGGTATTTTCAGATTTTCCTTTTAAGTTGAAATTGCAAATTAAACAAAAAATGATCCTCTCTGTTTAGACAATTACAGACCGATAACATTATTAAATGTTGACACAAATTTGTTGATTATTCACTTGCTCAAAGAATTATTAAAATATTACCCCAAATTATTCATGGAGACCAAAATGACCATAGATTATGCAGAAAAAATTAATATAGAGGGTGCTTTACTATTCTTAGATTTTTCAAAAGCATTTGATTCACTGGAGTGGGATTTTATGTTTTTAGCTTTACAAAAATTTGGATTTAAAAATTCTATGCTGAGATGGATAAAACTTTTATATACTGACATAAAAAGCTCAGTTTTAAACAATGGGAGTATTTCAAAACCCATGAGTATATATCGTGGAATACGTCAAGGCTGTCCTTGTAGTACGATAATTTTTGGTATTGCTGTGGAGATTCTTGCTTGTAAAATTAGGCAAGAACATAACCTTAAAGGATTTGAAATCAAGACAGATGGAAAAACCCATACATTAAAGATAAGTCACCTAGCAGATGACACTACTCTTTTTCTTAAGTCAAAATAAGATATTTCAAAAGTTCTTAACATGATTGAAACATTTGGTTCACTTTAAGGATTAAAACTTAACAGATCTAAAACAGATGGTATTTGGCTAGGAAAACACAAACACTGTAAGGAAAAATATGAAAATGTTAAAATTACAGAAAAACCAGTTAAAAGTCTGGGAATATATTATGGGCATAACATAGAAGAGTGTCAGAAACTAAATTTTGAAAAACAGCTAAAAAAAGTCTGAAAATATTATATTTTACTGGAAAAAAAGAAACTTAACCATGATAGGAAGAATAAAAGTTATTTAATCAATAGTTATTCCTAATATTACTTTTTTAGCAACAGTTTCAACTTTGGGCAAAGAGTATTTAGACTAATTGAAAAAGATTATACATGATTTTTATGGAACAATAAGACAGAAAAAGTTAAACGCACTGTAATCAGCTACGACCAATTAGATGGCTGATTAAAAATGTTGAATGTAGATAAATATATAGAATCTATTAAGATAGGTTGGATAATAAGATTAAGTAATAGTAAAAGTTCAATGGTTAATATTGATATTAAAAGACCTTCGAACATAAAGGGATGTTGAGATCCCCGAGCCCGAAGGGCGAGGAGATTTGAACAGCCCTTTTTGTGAGGAGGTCTTTTAATGTCAATATTAACTTAATCATTGAACTTTTACTGACTTACAAACCGTCAAAAACATAAGAAAAGTACTCAACAAAACCACTTGCAGAAGCCTAATTCCCCTGAATTGGACGAGTTTAAATATATTCAACTCAAATGATAGTTAAACAGTACTCAGACTGATATATACAAATAACAGTTATCTAATTGCATTGAAAACGGACCGATTAAATGGCATTACATCATATAATCATTTATTTATTATACATTTTAGCATTAAAATAACACCATAGGATAGTTTTATAAAAATTAAGGGGTAAATTTATATTTTTGATTTCCATCTTTTCAATATAACGATTTTTTATTTTATAAATGAGATAATCAAAACCCTATACAGACCTCATTTACAACTGACCAATGAATGATCTGCACAAAAACTTCTTGTTATATATATTTGAATTTTTAATCTGTCAGTAATCATGAAATAGATTCGTAAAGACCAGACCAAATGAAAACAGTAAGTAAACTCTTCCAACAATTAGCTATTTAAACAGCTTGTTTCACAACTTCTAATCGAACAGACCTATATGCATAAGGTCCTTCACAATATTCAGGTAAATGTTCATTTTGGTCTTAATTCTGTCCTACACTACGTTACATGCGAATACAAAATAATTAGTGTTGTCTGTTCAATCCAATTAATTAATAAATCGTGTTTTGTTTGTTTTTTGTTTTTAAATAAAAACTATGCATGTAAACTTCAATGAATAAAATCGCATTAAATAGGCTAAACGTAACATC